TAAATTGTAGTTTTTAAACCAATCAGACCAGGGTTTCCAAGCTCTATCAAAGATACCGATTTTATAGTGTAAACCAATGGTCTTTCATGGACATAATGAGTTTGGACTATTTCAATTACTTCTTTCATAGTAGGAGCTAAATCTTTCTATCATTGTCTGGCAATAGTAAGTTTGGATGCTAAGAGAATGTGTGCTACCAGTACACAATACTGGGTTGGATATTAGTCTATATTTATGTTTAGAATATCTAGTGGAGGGTTTGGCTGTTTTAGTATTCCAGTAATTTCTGATATCATTTAGAAGATTCTATGCCAGTAGCTGCAGATGGTTTTTCATGTCCACAATACACGTGTAATAATGTGTCTGTTTGTCCACAATCCCTCCAGCACTGAGAGCTATGTTGTGCTGAAAATTTAGGTATTTGATATGGAATTAGATACCATCTTGTGGAAATTTTTTATGTTAACTCCCATGAATTAACACGAATAGCTGTGAATACAGCTCAGAAGGCAGATAGCCATTGCTTAGTAGAAAAGTTGGTTTCTAACTCAGTTTCCCATTTAATGAGAGTAGATTTATTGAATTCTAATTTGTTTTGGAGAAGGTTATAAAAGAGGGTTATGCCTCGGGACTCGTGAAGATATATTGGGATAGTTACTGTTTTAGATGGGTGTTTGTTTCTTGGAAGGAGGAAGGCTAAATTCCTTCATAATTTCCTCAAAATATTTGATTCCATGATTTGTGTAAATATCTTGAATTGTAGATAAACCATTCAGCTCCCAGTTAGATATAGCATTTTTTTTAGTAGAACAGCCTTTAAAGCTGTCATAGGTATATGAATAGAATGTGCATGGGAATTTTCTATTGGTAGAGAACACAAATATTTCAAAGCATTTCGTAGCAGAGGTAAATTGACAGGTGAGCTTCAGACAAGGTGCATAGGTGAGCTGCAGCTGGGGGGGTGAGCTGAGTTGCAACCAGGGGAAGACAGACCATTCGAGCACTCGGGCACTACCCGAGGGCCCAGGGTCAGTATGGGGCCCCATGAGATGCCCCTGGTACCTTTCATTGGCTTTTTCATAGGCTTTTTTTTTTGGGTGTTGGCAAGGACACAGGGGCCCCATGATCCCCTATTGCCCGGGGGCCCCATGAGTTGTCAGTCTGCCCCTGGTTGCAACCCACCTCTGCACCCCCCAGCCACAGCTCACTTCTGCATCCCCTGTCCGCAACTCACCCATGCATCCTGTTTGTGGCTCATCTCTGCACCCTCTCTGAAACTCACCTATCAATTCACCTCTGCAACACCTGACTGCAGCTCACAACTGTCATCAGCTGGCCCTTTCTATAGTAACCCTCATCCACAACTGCCTGCAGCTCACCTCTGCACCCCCTGACCATACGTGCACATTAAACAAATAGGACCGAACCCAAAAATAAGCCCTAGTGTGTTTATTTTACCCCCAAAAAATACAAGATAGTGTCTTATTTTCTGGGAAACATGGTATATATCTTTCCTTATAAGGAAGGGATATAAAGTTGTTGTTTTTTTTTTGGAGAAGTTGTAGAGTGTAAGGATATATCTACTATAAGCTTGAAGTCTCCACATATTATAAGAGAACCAGAATGATTATTGGCGATTACTTTGAAGAGTGTGTTAAAATATCATATTTGGTGGATGTTAGGTGCGTATGAATTCACAATGGTGTATTTGATGTCACCTATAGTACAAATATGAATCAAGTAACAACCTTCAGGATCTGAAATCCAATTGTGTAAAACAAAATTAACTGAGTTTTTGATAGCAGTAAGTACGCCTTTTTTTTTTTTTCAGCATCAGCTGTATAGACATGTGGAAAACTTTTATGTGTGCTGCCGAATCCATAAAGTGGGTCTCTTGGAAGCAAATTATGTCACATTTATCTTTAAGTGCTTGTTTCCACATGTGTGTACATTTATCAGGATGGTTCAATCCATTAACATTAATTGAAATGATTTTTAGTCCCATAAAGAAAGGATAAGAAATGACAATGATTGAGGTCTAGACAGAACACCTATATATTGGCAATATAGCCTTGTGGTAATGGCAGCTATTTTGTTCAAACCGCTACAAATTACGCAGTGAAAGAAAAGAGAAAAGAGCATATGAACAAATAAACTATAAAAAATGTGATCTTTAAGATCAGGATGCAAAAAAAATTGCATAATATTTGTGGGGTTAGAACAAAATAGGTGGCTCTACCTTTAGTTATCATCAAGTGCAGGTAGAACACTTGGTGCCCAGCTTAGGGTTTAGATCTTGTGAGAGAGCGTGTCAGGAATGGACTCAGCACTGGTGGTGGGACTCACCTGCTGTGTGGGCTGCAGTACCAGGGCTGACCAGCGGGTGCTCTCAGCAGCCAGAAGCTCACTCCTGCAGTCAGCCAACACCTGGGGCTGATTGCAGGAGGTGTATTTAAGGAATGACCAGGCCTGTGATCAGTGCCTTGGTGTATGTTTCCCATGAGCCCCTGTACCTTGTATCCTGTGTTCCTGTTCCTCTGCCTATCTGATTTGTTGTCGACTCTGCATTGTTCCTGACCCTGCTGACCGTCTCCTGTTAACCCCTGGCTTGCCTGACCATCCTTCTGCCTGATTCTCTGTACCGCGCTGCCCATGAGTTCCTGAACCTGGCTTGTGACCCTGACCATTCTCTGCCTGATCCTCTGTACCGCGCTGCCCGTGAGTTCCTGAACCTGGCTTGTGACCCTGACTATTCTCTGCCTGCTCCTTCGGTACCTCGCTGCCCGCACGTTGCTGACCTGGCCTGCCTGACTACGCCTTATGCTACCCAGACGATCCATCCATCCTGCACGGATCCAGCCATCCCTGCTCACACCTTCTGCCTATTCACATCAGGCTTCCTACCTGCATATACCTCTGGCGGATCCCTCTACCACGAGCAGGTGTACTCAGGGGCCGCGACCTGGTTCCTGTCTGCTCCAAGTCCATCTCCACCATCAGGGGCCCTGGTGAATAAGCAGACTGGGACTTAAATCAGGGGCCGCGCCCTGGGGAATCCTGTCCCGAGGACTGCTAGGGGTATCACCAGACGGTCGTTAACAGAACCATATGGCTGGCCTGACCCTTCCACCTCTCCAGCCCTTACTGTGCCTGTGTTCCTGCACATACTAAGATTAGTGGAAGGTTGGTTTATTTACTGAGCATTGTATATTTGGGTAGCTAATAATAAATTATATTATATCATTCCTGAAGCCTGTTACTTCCCTGTGTCAGTCCACACATTTCTGGTCATACCCGGATCCTTGACATTACACCAAGGCCAGTCCTGACCAGAAGTGGCTGCACAGGGAAGCCATCTTGGCTTATTGTTGTGAAGGATGCATCCTGAGGAGGTTGTAAATTTGTGTCAGCTAGTCTTTGATGAATTATGCCTATCAGACTCTGAAGGAGTATACCAGGGTTCAACTGCTAGAATGCATATGGATCGTTCATTTTCTAGTGGATCAGGGCACAGAGTTCTCTGAGGTGCAGCCATTGATTCAGGTTTGTGCAGAGTTGGCTTCATCTAGTGCCCCTGAGGGAAGGGATGACTTTTTGCCACCATTTAGTGCAGACCAGGTAGAGTCCCTGGTATGGTTATTAGAGGATGATGTGGATTGCTTCTTGGAGTATTATTCTGCATGTTCACAAACAGGTGCTTAGGGATTGAATAAACACAGTGCAGTCTTTGACCAGACGAGCTTTGCAGTACTGGCTCAACAAAGCTCAGCTTACACAGACATGGTCGGATTTGTTACATCCAGCCTCAGTCAGCTTGCAACAACCCAGTCCTGCTAACCATTACTCTGCTCAAAGCTCTCTTCCTCCAGTTCCCACAGCACCCCCAGTGACAGCCCAGTATACCCTGCTAGCTACCACATGTCAGTCCCCTGCTCCCACTCGCTGCACCTATCCTGCCTTTTACCCTGTAAAGAAGCCCTCTGTAGCAACTGCTCCCTCCTTTGTTCCATCCTCCGGCTCTTCCCTGTCTTCAGCTGCTCCATCCGTTTACAGACCTGCATTTACTTACAGTGCTCCAGTAACTAAACCCAAGAAGAAGCGAAAAATTCTTTCCAACCAGTACCATCCTACCAGTACCCAAACCGGTCAGCCTGCTGTCTGAGGACCCGCCTTCCGTTGTCCAGCCTGATGCCCTGATGCCCGATGACCCGATCCGGCCTGATGACCCGATCCGGCCTGATGACCCGATCCAGCCTGATGACCCAGTGTTCGTGATCCAGCCTGATGACCCGATCCAGCCTGATGACCCAATCCAGCTAGATGACTCGGTGCCCGCTGTCATGCCAGATGACTCGGTGCCCGCTGTCGTGCCAGATGACTCGGTGCCCGCTGTCGTGCCAGATGACTCGGTGCCCGCTGTCGAGCTTGGTGACCCGGTGCCCGCGGTTCTGCTAGATGACTCGGTGCCCGTTGTCGAGCTTGGTGACCCGTGTGCCTGCGGTTCTGCTAGATGGCTCGGTGCCCGCTGACGTGCTCGATGACTCGATGCCCGCTGACTTGCCTGGTGACTCGGTGCCCGCGGTCGTGCCAGATGACTCGGTGCCCGCGGTTGTGCCCAATGACTCAGTGCCCGCTGTCGTGCCCGATGACTCGGTGCCCGCTGTCATGCCAGATGACTCGGTGCCCGCTGTCGAGCTTGGTGACCCGGTGCCCGCGGTTCTGCTAGATGACTCGGTGCCCGCTGTCATGCCAGATGACTCGGTGCCCGCTGTTGAGCTTGGTGACCCGGTGCCCGCGGTTCTGCTAGATGGCTCGGTGCCCGCTGACGTGCTCGATGACTCGGTGCCCGCTGTCGTGCCAGATGACTCTGTGCCCGCTGTCGAGCTTGGTGACCCGGTGCCCGCGGTTCTGCTAGATGGCTCGGTGCCCGCTGACGTGCCCGATAACTCTGTGCCCGCTGTCGTGCCAGATGACTTGATGCCCGCTGTCGTGCCAGATGACTCGGTGCCTGCTGTTGAGCTTGGTGACCCAGTGCCCGTGGTTCTGCTAGATGGCTCGGTGCCCGCTGACTTGCCCGATGATTCGATGCCCGCTGACTTGACCGGTGACTCGGTGCCCGCTGTCGAGCTTGGTGACTCGGTGCCCGCTGTCGTGCCAGATGACTCGGTGCCCGCTGTTGTGCCAGATGACTCTGTGCCCGCTGTCATGCCTCTGCCCACTGCCCAGCCTGATGTGCCTCTGCCCGCTGCCCAGCCTGACGTGCCTCTGCCCGCTGCGCAGCCTGATGTGCCAGCCCCTGATGTCCAGCTAAACTGGACAATAACTGATTCCCAGCCAGCTCCTGGAAATCCTGTGTCCAGCGACCTGCCTTCCTGGGTTCCCCTACATAAAGAGAAGTCTGCCAGCAGGAAAACCAGCTGGCAGGTTGACTTCGGCAGTAAGATATCCAGCCAGTTACCTGACCCGGGCGGTGGAAAATTTTGCCCACTAAGGACTGTTTGGAGCGCCCTGAGGCCACTCCTTGAGGGGGGGGTACTGTCAGGAATGTACTCAGCACTGGTGGTGGGACTCACCTGCCGTGCGGGCTGCAGTACCAGGGCTGACCAGCGTTTATGGATAACCAGATTCCATTCTGAATTTATTTCAGAGGGAGCAGGATATTGGTGTTCAGCTTCTGGTAGAATATCACATTCTCTGAGGTATTGTAAGCCTCCTTCCAAGTTGTTGATTGTAGTAGTTGTACCATTCTTGACAACAATCAATTTGGTTGGATGATCCCAGTGATAGATGATCCTGTTCTTGCATAATGCCTTTGTTATTGGAATAAGATTTTTTGGAAGATGTTTAGACAGATCTGTGAAGAGCTGAAGAAAGGTATATTGAGGAGGCAAATTTTGGGCTTTGCAAGTTACCTTTATGATTTTCTCTTTAATGTGGAAAAAATGTATTTACATTAAGACATCACGCTGAATTTTGTCCGGAAGATAGCAGAGTTTCAGAAGATGATGAATCCTATCTATGATCAGATCAGAATTTGTGACATCGGGTAGTAAGGCATGAAACAGTTCTTGTACATAAGATCATAGTTGTTCAGGTAGCATGGTTTCTGGAATACCCCATATCTTAAAATTATTACGCATGATCTATCTTCAAGATCTGCAACTTTGTTTTTGAGTGATTCCAATTCTTCATCTTTATCATTATGTGCGTATACTAGGGTATTGAAAGAAGTACCAAATTCTCCCATTTTTACCTCCATGTGATCTACTCTTTCACCCAGATCATTAATCTCTAATTTAACTTGTTGCATGGAAAGCATTATTTCTGATTGAATGGAAGACCTCAGAGAGAGAAGCATCTCTTTCATCAGAGTGTCATAAATGGGTCTGACTAGTAGTAGGAAAGTCAGCAATGTTATCAGAGAACTTATTTGTTGAGTGTGCACTGCCAATGTGAGAGCTTTTCTCAGCGTTAGATTAGCAGTTGCCATCCTGTATGTGGATTTGGCTGGGCTTGTTATAGATGTGATTGAGGAGACAGAACAGGCAGGCTGTAATATGGCTGATTGTTTTGTTTTGCAGTAGTCATAGGGAGAGCTGCTGCATGTTTGTGTGCAGAACGGGAAGAAAAAGATCCTCCATTATGACAGTGGGTGCCATTCATCAGCTGGGGGAGAAACTCTGGTATCTTCTAGGGATTTTTCTCAGCCTTCCTCTTCCTTGTCATGGTGCTGAGGGTCCCTGGATGTGTATCCTCCTCTAGGCACTTGTTTGCTGCTTCAGAGCTGCCATTGTAGAGATTGGGCACCAGGTATGCAGTGGAGTTGGGGAATCAAGCTGTCATTCAGCACAGTTGCTGGACGCACAACCGTTTGCTCTGTAATGTTGATGATATGCCAAAGCTTATCTAAACCTAATCTTTAGTTCTACTGAGTGTCAGAAACATACCCCATATTTTATATCCTTACAGGTAGCACAGTGCTCTGAAACTAATCACCACAGAATGCGTAAAGACAAGTGTTGATTATTGATCCCCTCTTGTTATTGAACAACCGACATTTGCTTTGACACATTTCATAAGAAAAAAATCAACTTTATTTCCAGAGTTACTACAATCTAACATACCCATATCCTAATTTTAGTCTAAGCCTGTTTATATATCTGTTATTAGATCATTGAAATTCATATTCTCTGGGTTTAGGACAGGAGAAAAATCTGTAAATCCTTGGGATTTTTCATTTCTGAATAAGGTAAAGCTAAACTCCAGCATTTTTGTATTATCAATTGTCCAGCATGTATGAAAGTAAAAAATCCAGCTCACACAATACTGTACTTACCCTATTTCCACTGCTGTCCCTGCAGGCATATGGTTCTATCATTCATTGCTACTTCTTTTGTGGGTTAAATGAGAACCAACTTCATTCAACCTACTTCTTGTAAGCCAATCTGGGCTTTTTGCACAAAAACTGAAGTATGATCTAATTAGTAGCTAAGCCACAATAGCTTGTTGTTTATTATGATTAAATAAATGTACATGCATTTAAGCAACAACACACACAAATCTGTATATTGCTATATTTTTTATCAAATGCATGCTTCAAATATTAAGGTCATTGATGAAAAGGCTTTAAGAACTAACATGCTTTTAGTGGAATCTCTCTGGCATAACCTTCATTCAATTCTTTCTGTATCTTCAGATAAGCATTATCTGTATATAAAATGGTTTAAATCTGTACATTGGGATAAGCAAATTTTGTCTAAATACAAGAGGCACATGCATTTTTCCAGATCTTTGCAGTAGTCCAGTGTAAACTTTGCCTCTGTGCAGGAGCTTCCTATAATAAGACTGGTCACTGATGCACTCTTTCATTTTTCAGGGTGACTGGTCTTGTCTCCACCCCTCCTGTAGTTTTCTGTAGGCAGCCTGAAGTGGTTGGGACTTTCTGGTTCCCTCCGAGAGCAATCTGCACAGACTTTGTACAGTACATTGATAATGGCACAGCTACTTTTCCAAGGTAATATCTGGGGTTGCAAAGTCTTAAGTGCACATGACTGGAGTTCATCTTTAATAGCACATATAATTATGGCACCTATTTCTAACATAATTTATTTCAGATGATGACACAACAATTTAATGGGACTAAGGTCAACACTTTGACTTGGTCAAGCTAAAATAGTCAATTTCTTTAGTCTTAAAGGATAAGTTTAAACACAAAAATAATAAATGCACTTTTTTTGCAGGTAAAAAAATGTGCATTTATTATTTTTGTCTGCAGGAGCCTGTAAAACATTGCACCAGTGATCACAGATTGCTGGTGCCATGCAGGTCTCCTGCAAATCTGTCAGTATATCTGCTTGCCCATACGGGACTCTACAAGCAAGCAGATATACTGATTGGAAGATTCAATGAATCACGGTGGTAGTTCATTGAAAACTACAGGCCAACAGCCTCTAAGGCTGTCAGGACTTGCAAATCATTCTTGGAACTCTGTTTTTAAATCTGACAGATAGTACGGGGAACATCTCCTCGTACTTCTGTCACAGAGAGGGGGGAGACAGCAGGTGGCAGCTGCTGCATTAGGAACTTATCCATTAATTACTTTTCTGATCATTTACTCCTGTATTTTGAAGTTGCCTTATTGTATGACTCAACATATTTTGTGATTTAGATCACAGGAATATAATGTTCTATTGTAAAAGTTCTTCTTACAAATTGGAACTCTTATGTGGCTCAATTTTTCAAAACTCTCCAGGTCTTGAGATAATAAAGCAGTCCTAAACATGATATGCCCCTCGCCAAGCTTTTTGTTTGGAATTAGATGTTGGTATGGCATTCTCTATTTAAAATAAAATGGAAATTCATTTTTTTTTCTTTTCTGTCCACAGAACATTGTTCTAGTAGTTGTCCAGAACATCCAGATTGTTGTTAGCAAAGTGGACATAATTTTTTTACTTTAAATAATTTTTATTGAATTTTAGCAAATTATATGGGCAATTATATGGACAATATCAATATTAAAACAGGCTGGAACATGAGAAAGAAGTGTTTGAGGGAACATGAAAGTGTACAAAATTGCAAAATTTTCCATATCCATATCAAATCGAGGTATACACTAAAACACATATGGAAGGGGAAGGAGCCATATAAATCCTCAAAATCCCCCCAACAATTCACACTCCTGAACAAAAAACAGGTCACTACCAACAGTAGTACCAGAAACTATCCAATATCCCAGAAAAGAAAAAGAACAGATAGAAACAAGGAGAAAACATAAAACAAAATAGGAAAGGAGAAAGAAACAGTAAGCCAGGTCTAGAGATAAACCGTGAGGGGACGACCACCCCTATCCCCCGAAAATGGGTCACAAAAAACATTCATATATTTAGCCCAGGTTCCCATGTTAATTAAAAAATTTTGCCACTGTATCAGAGAGCATACTGACTGCATTCTTCTGGAGCATAATCCATGTAATTGTGTTATTTGCCTGAGCCAGAGACACGGAGGGTTGTTTCCAGGCTTTAACAATAGCCATCTTTGCTCTGAAAAGGATATACAAAATCAAACATTGTAGGTGATGGGGGATGCCCTCCACCAATGCATTAAGTAAAGCTATAGCAGAGGTTTGGGGAACAGACACCTCGTGACTCTGCTCTGAGCAAACATTTCATTCCAAAAGCTACAAATCCTTGAGCATTCCCACCAGATGTGGCACATAGAACCCTTCTGACCACACCCATGGAAGCAGAGAGAGGATGCAGATGGGTACATTTTATTTAAGCATGTGGGAACAAGATACCATCGGGTGAGTATTTTCACCATAGCTTCTATCAGAGAAACATTCATATTCCCCAAATAGGATCTAAGGAAGCATTTGTGCCAAACATCAACTTCCATGTCTTCCCTATGATCTGTCTCCCAGTCAACCATATAAGAGAACTTAGAAGGCAAGCCTAGTAGCAGCCCACACACGAGGGATATACTCCCCTCTGGCCTGAGTCCTGTGAGCACCACTGTACGTATGTAACCCTATGTTGTGCCTGTTTATTGGGCATCAGAGAATGCAAAACATGTGATATCTGGAAAAAGCTAAATCGTTCTGAAGGGGAATTTTCAGCATATAAGAAAAGATTTCTCTTAGAGTTTGCATTGTCATTGACCTCCAAATGTTTGCTCACTATTTCCCCCCCCTCACTCCCCCTCCCCCCCCCCTTCCCTGTCTTCTCTTCCATGGCACTTAAATATTCAGTTTATGCTTATGCTTCTACCAGTACATGCTCTGAACTATATTCTCCAATGCCCTGTATGTTTCATACTTGTTGGTCAATGTATATGATTCTCGAATGTTTGTTTATCTCTGCTTGTTCTATATTAAAACCCTTTGTAAAAGAACACAGCATATATTACAGTTATTCCCAAACCAGCTGAGGAACCTGGGGAAGTGAGCAAATATAGGCCAATAGCTATCACGTACCTGGTGACAGAGGCCAATGGAGAGAGAGCTTCCCTCGCGGCTAAGTTCCAGACTCCCCTGAAGGTGGGATGGCAGGAGTCAGGCCCAGAGTAGCATAGGTCGCCTGTGGGAGTGTTTGTTTGGTGGTCCACCAGGAG